TTTTTTTTTTTTTTTTTTTTTCTTTTTTTAGTAGCCTTCGATCTCCGAATCACACATTTACAGGGGAATGTTTGAGTTGGAAGTTAGAAACAAGGAGAGTGTGTAGTACAATTCCAATACTTTGACCGATTTCGATATACTAACTGTTGGGTCGATCCATCTTTCTCTCCTCTTTTTTTTTTCTTCTCTTTCTCTTTCTCGTTTTTTTTTTTTTCGATCTCTCTAACAATTCATCATCTCCTACAATTTAAAAATAACTAGCACTACATTTACGAATTCTCGATTTTTTATTTTCATTTTTCTGATCGGGTAATCTATACTTAAAATCCAATAGGTGAGTTATTATCGTCTCCTTGCCTCCTGCTCTTTTCCTTATTTTCTCTTTCTTTCTCTCTTTGATTCATCGTTTGCTAATTGTTTTTTTTTTTGGTAAAGTCTCTTTGAAAATTCATCGGATTTTTGGATTTTTCTCTAGTCCCTTTCAGGCTTGTCACCTCCATGTTTCATAAAATACAAGTGAAAAGTACTGTACGAGCCGACCAACTTTATAAAAAAATTTCTTCTTCCCCCTTCTCTCTTTATACGTACTATGCAAAAATCTTACGATCATTGTGTAAAACTGAAATTCTTTTTGTTCTCCCTTTGCTTCAAACTGTTCTCAGTTCTAAAGAAATGTTTCGACTCGATAATTGACGACTCACTGCAGAAATTTAATTTAATTTAGAACTCTATACCTAACAATATTAGATCATGAATGAAGAAAGTTTCGTTGCAAAAAATATTTCTCAAATGACCCACAAGACTTTTGCAGTATACGTGCAATACTTATATAAAGGATAAGAAAAACGTGGATGAACGTTCGACAATGACACAACACAGTCAAAGAATCATCGACAAAAGGAAACAGTTCGATGAGGAGGAAAGCCGAGTTCTGAAAATTGTCGTCTAATTATCTGTTACTTTGGTGGCCGTCGAAAAATGTCTGTTTTTCCTTGGTATTTTTTTTTTTTTTTCTTTTTAATTAGGTACAATGTTTGTGAATATTTTACAAATCAAATCAATCGTCCACTCGCAGTCACGTGGATCAAATAATTTCGAATAACAAGTCAGGCGTGAGAAAAAAATTATACACAGCGTACGTTGTTATCACGCGAGATTCGCAAATGTTAAATGTCGCAATGTACAAGTTTCCACGCAAAGAAAAGGACAGGCGTGTTTCACAGAGAAAAAAAAAAAAAAAAAAAAAAAAAAAAAAAAAAAAAAAAAAACGAAAAGGAAAAAAACAAGAGAAACCGTTCTGTCGCAGGATACGCACGCAATTTAGCGATTTTCCTATATTTTCGCAGCTGTGGGAATGTAGGGAATTAAAAGTATACGAAGTCTGAGTGTAGTGGACGTAAAGAAGAAAACGAAGAGGATACGTACACTTATCTTCCTCGATAAAACAGCGAATTCGATTTGATGTGGCCATTGTAACGAGACGAGAACGAGAGAACATAAATAGAGAACGAAGGAGAAGCGTTAGGCAAGTTGGCTGGCGCGCGAGCATTCAACCGGGAGTCAATCTCTTTTTAGGACCAGAATCGTAACGAACAATTTATTATCTCGACAATTAGTCACAAAACATATCGAAATTGAATTGAATGAAATTCTGAGCACTTCCGGGCAGCATTTCCCCGTGTATCCAACAATAGACAGTATCGTACGAGAAAGACGCTGGACCAATCCGTAAGGACGTTCAATAATCAAAATGCGTCGCGTTCGCTGGTTCGTTGCTGATGCTTCTCTACGCAAGTGGGCAACTAGAAAGGAAAAAGCAAATAGACGGATGATGAATAAAAGGGAAGAAAAGAGGAACGAAAGAAGCAAGCACGGTGGGGCGGGGAAAGCGTGGAAAAAAAAAAGAAAAAGGAAAAGAGGAAACGTTGGAACCGTGGCAAAGGGATCGAACACGAGTTGACGAGACTCAGGGGGGCCCGTATAGAGTTACTAAGTGCGGTCCAATGGTTCACGGGATACAATTTTATACCTCGTGTGCGCGTGCACACGGACTGAAGGATAAAAGAGACTAAAAAAAGAGGTCTATTAAAAAAAAAAAAAAAAAAAAAAGTTTTGATATTTTCGAGACACATATTTATAGCGGATACGTATAATATCAGGCCCTCCGCTCTTGTCAGCCCGTGCTGTGAAAACGTAGAAACGAATATGCAAAACGATATTATCCGTACTTAGTGTTACAGAGATTGTGCCGAGGCTGTGAACGAATCTTGCAACTCGTGCAATCCGGCTGCTGCAATTGAAATCGAACTTTTATCGAGAAATTAATTACACGCGAAGGTGGTGTTTTTCTGCAACTTTTGTTGATCGTCGTAACGCGTCTGTCATTGATTCATGATCCTATTCTTTTTTTTGAACGACGTTCTTCGCGATTTATATCTTATACATATATATGTACATATATATGTATCTTAAATATATATGTACATATATATGTATCTTAAATATATATATGAGTCGCAAGGTTCGTTCAGTCTTGGCCATTTTTGTATCACTAGCTATATATATATTTTTTTTTCTTTTATCTTATTTATCTTATTTATCTTATTTGAATCGTCTTTTTTCTTTTTTTTTGTTCTTTCGTAATTTTAAGAATATTTCTTTTTTTTTTTTTTTTTTTTTACTTTATAATAATTAATAATATATATGCAATGATGGTCACGCAAATGAGTATTCGTTTTGGGCAAGTTCTACGTTCCTACCGATCTCCAAAGTTAAGACAGAAAAGGACTAGTAATGGTGCTGCCGTTCTGATTATCGCCACGATTAGGGGCTCCCTCGATGGGGAGGCAGAGACTATGTATATTCGGAATCTGCAACGCGTTTTCCTTTCGTGGTTCCGTTTCTCTTTCTTTCTTTTTCTTCTTTCTTTCGTTTCTTTTTTCTTCTTTCTTTTCCTCTTTTTTTCATTTTTGGTTTTTTCTTTCTCGCATCGATCGACAACGATCGATTCATATATCTTCAATCTAAAAA